GAGTCGATGTGGAATCGTATCATTGACAATCAAACACATACATTTTAAATACATACGTAATATCCTTACTTGCAATAGATTAAGTCTGTTTTGATAGCTCTACCTAACAATGTTTATTTAGTAACACAAAAACCTCATGTACCTCATCTTCAACTGTCTCGCTATTAGCCTATTAGAAAGAAAAACAACATTCACTGCCGGTACATATCCTATGGTTTTATCCAATTTGGTCTTCTGTGTTAGTTCTTTCATTCATTCCCAACTCTAAATTCGTGGCTGGCAGAGTTACGTTGTCGGATCACTTATCCGGACAACAACAATAGATTTTTTAGGTTCTGATTCGTTTTACGTTTTGAATGGTTTATTGTTGTTGAGGTTCATTCTAGTAATTAACATCATATCATTTACTTTTGTGCTTCATTTGCTCCTACTTAAGCTATAACCTAGCTAGCTAGCTAGGTTCATTTATTAATATACTATTTACATTGCAAAGGACAATTTCCTTCTTTTTTAGACTTTTTTCTTTTTTACATTTCTGCACATGAAGTCTTTTATCCCAACAATTGAGATGCTTGCAAATACGATATGGTACATTTTTCTTTTTTTAATTGCCAAGTGAATTGCAAGATGACATTATATATATATATATATATATATATATATATATATATATATATATATATATATATATATATATATATATATATATATATATATATATATATATATATATATATATATATATATATATATATATATATATATATATAGAGGAGTGATCACATGTGGCCATGTTGTTAGGTGTGGTCATATGGTCAATTATAGACCATTAGATTAGATAGATCTAATGAATCATATTAATTAAGATTTTTTCAGTATTTTCGCGCATATTCTCCTACCCAGCGAACTGTAAGGGTAAACTTGTCATAAAACACCGGAATAAGGAAAATCACATTGTTGTGTGTTTTATTACACTATTGGTGCATGTTGTCAACACTGTTGGTGTATTCTGGAACTCGACCGCTATAAATGGCCACTGTAATTACCATAACACGGGAATACATCATTGGTGTGTTTCACTGTGGTGTGTTTTATTACACTGTTGGTGTATGTTATCAACACTGTTGGTGTATTCTGGAACGCGCCCGCTATAAATGGTCACTGTAATTGCCATAACACCCCCACTTACTAAAACGCGCGAAAATCCTCAGAATTACCACAGCCTTTAGATTAAACTTATTCTACGACACAGATACGACCACACGACCACATCTAATGACATGACCACATATGAGCGTTTATATATATATATATATATATATATATATATATATATATATATATATATATATATATATATATATATATAGTGAAAGGATCAGGTGCATTTGTTGCTTCCCGTGCGGATGTGCGGTAGATTAATGTGCGTGAGATTTGTACACAATGTGCGTGAGTGTTGTGCTTAATGTGCCTGAGATTTGTACTTAATGTGCGTGAATGTGTAAAATGCAGCAGAAAATATTGATGTCAGCTTCTTCCCTATCCCCAGTAGCCATTTGCCCCCTCTCTGATGATGATGATGCGAAGACGGGCTATGGTGGTTAAGAATTATGGGAATAATACAACAGAAATCCACACTTAGTTACTGTGCAAATTTTACTGTGCGTGCATCATTTATATAAACATTCAACTGCACTGAAAGTAGCTGATAATCTAGAATCCATGGCCAAATTGAAGGAAGAAGTAACAAGAAGCTTGGGCGTTAATGTGCGTGAGTTTCTGTTCTGCTTCCTTCTGAGCTCGTAATTCTGAAATACTCAGGCACATTAAGCACAAATCTCACGCACATTAAACAGAATACTCAGGCACATTAAGTACAAAACTCACGCATATTAACATGACACACATTAAGTACAAATCTCAGGCACATTGAGTACAAATCTCACGCACATTAAGTATAAACCTCATGCACATTAATCCACCGCACATCCGCACGGGAAGTAACAAATGCACCTGATCCCTTCCATATATATATATATATATATATATATATATATATATATATATATATATATATATATATGTGTGTGTGTGTGTGTGTGTGTGTATGTATGTATGTATGTATGTATGTATGTATGTATATATTGGATCAAATGAAAACAAGTCCTTAGGAGAGAAATAAGAACCAATACTTACATTGGAAAAATCAAACGAATCAGATCAAATTTAAAAAAACAAAATGCGGTGGCATTTTTGTAATTATCACCAATTTTACTATGCAAACTTGAACACTAAACTCTTCAATTCTCATACTTTTCTAGGTTTGCATATTTAGTTGTTAAAGATTGCATAGTGAAGTTGATGATAATTATGAAAATATCATCGCGTTTTTTTTTATATGATCCAAATTTATCAAATTTTTATAGATGTAAGACTTAGATTGATTCTTATTTCCTTCGTATTGAATTGTTCTCAGGTATATATATTATTTCCTTCGTATTGAATTGTTCTCAAGTATATATATATTAATTGAAACAAATACAAGCTTACCTGACTGTTCAGGCTTCATTTAGGGCATCATCAATAGTGGAGATTTTGTTGTGGTTTTTGAGGAGTTTTTGTAAGTGTAATTAGGAAAGAGGAGATTTGAGGGAAGAGAAAAAAGAAAAAAAATCTGATTTCAAAAAAACAAACAAACAAAAAAAAAAACTATAAATAACAACATAAACACGCCCAGCGTGCGTGTGCAGTGCGGTGAAAGGCACTCATTTATAATAGAAACGCGCTAAGCGGGCGCGTGCAGTACGGTGAAAGGCACTTTTGTGTGGCGCGATGCGCGAATGGCAAAGCTGAGCAGAGGGTCCCACTTTACTACAAGATCCCTTGTTTTGCAGGAGGCACTCATCCTAAAAAGTTTGGTCTTTCCATTACTAAAAATCCATCACCATTGAATTTTACTGTTTGAAAAGCTTGGAATGATTCCCTAATGGGGATGCTCTTACTAAAGTGTTTGAGTGGACCCAATTATTTTTAAAATGAAATTTATTGTTATTATACTATACTAGTATTTGCACTCATGCGATGCACGGAATGGATTTGTTGTAATATATTAATAATATATGAATCGATATATAATTATTTAAATTAGAACATCAAATATTCTATAGTGTTATTAAATATATGGTTTGGATCGTTTATATATTTTGATGTTATCATTGCTTGAATTTGTGCAAATAATTGCTCAAATTAATACCTAATGTCTAGATGTACTCATGCGGTGCTATAAGCCTATAATAACTTTGAAGATTTTATTTATCATTGTTTAGTATTTTCATTAATTAGGCAAATGTGCTCGTTCTCTAACAACTCAGTTATAGAAATGAATTGCTCTCCTTCTTTCCAAACTCCACTTCTATGACCAGTTGAGCTGCCCATGCGGGCAATGAATTGCTATCCTTAATCATTTGTATGGAAGATACATTTTTTTGTCTAGATATATAGCAATTTTTTTTCATTTTAAACAAACTTAATATCACCGATTATATTTACACATTATTGAAACCTCTTTGTAAAAGACATTGGTAGTGACAACACAATCTTGTTCATCTAAATCTAGAGCTAACACCTTCAATCCATCAGAACAGGTTACTTGGGTGAAAATATGTAATGGTAGAATATTACTCAATTAGTTATCCTTTTATATTTTCAGTCAATTAGTAATATCAGATTCATTTTCAGCCAATTATTATTTTTTATTTTCAATCAATTAGTCAATTAGAATATCAAATGCAGTGATATTTTTACCTAATTTTCGTTCCATTTTTAATTGATGATGTAGATATTATTATTGAAATATTTCCGTTCCATTTTTAATTTACAATTACTATTGTTTAAAATATGCATTTACTATTGATCAGTGTTGCAAAAATCGCGCCTATTAATCGCTCTAGGCGCCCGCCTAGGCGCTCTAGGCGCCGATTAATCGCTCTAGGCGCCCGCCTAGGCGCTCTAGGCGGTCCCCAGGCACCTAGAGGGCGCCTAGCGATTTTTTCAACCTTGCAATTGAGTGTAGAATATTATTATTGAAATATTTTTCTCTAATTTTAAATTTCCATTTCATTTTTAATTTTTTTTGAAGGTCAATCTTGCGATTGTATTAATGAATCAAAGTCGAAATAGGGTCAGGTGGGATAGCATCCCAGTACATAACTTGATCCTGTGTAAATGCTAACGTAGCTAAAGTATGCGCATGTAAATTAACCTGTCTAGAGATGTAATCCAAAGTAGTACGATTAAATAAAGACATAAACGTTCTGGACTGGTCAATTGTGACCCCAACGTACGAATGGATCGGCGTGTGATGGCGTCGAATAATCGTAGCCAATTCCATGCAATCCGTGAGTAAACTTACTGATGTGTTGCTTCGTTCAAGTAGCCAGGATAGTGCTTCCTTGTATGCCTGGGCCTCCGCCATAAGTGGTGAAAAACAAACCGGTAACTTGCCATTCCTTGCTGCCACAAAAGAGCCATCTGGCGCTATTATTATCATGCCGTACGTAGCCTCGCCCGTGTCGTGCCTGAAACCCGCGTCTACATAACACCGTAGACTGCCCTCCCCTGAACCGTTTAAGTGCTCCGATGCTGCTGTCGGCTCGGTTCGGCGGACATGGGCAGCGCCGTATGCCTGTAGTGCTACAGTGGCTGCTCTGGCTAATTGGGCAGGTCGCACCATTGATCCCTTCCAGACAGCTGAATTCCGAGTTCTCCAAATATAATATAATATTGCTACCATTAACCGGGTCTGCTCCTCTGTTAAAACCGCCATAGCCCCTTTTAGCCATGTTGTAAAAGAGTCTGCAATAATATTAATAACAGGCAATTGTGTTATATTCCAAACAAGTCTAGAATATTCACAGAGTACTACAGCATGTAACACATCTTCATGATCTAAACCACACATTGGGCATGTTGGTTCCACCTCCACCCTTTTAAATATAAGTTTAGGGTTGTTGGCAAAATGTCACATATGCCTCTCCACAAGAAAGTTTTCCACTTGGGGGGACTTTTATTTTCCACATTGCAACCCATTTATCAAAATCTGCTGGATTATTCTCATAATCACCCACAATATGCCTATAGGCATTCTTTACTGTATATATCCCCTTGGGGTCACTCATCCAATACCATGAGTCCTCATACTCAGGACTCACAGTGATCATATTTATTCGCTCCACATCTTCAGGAATAAATAAGTCAGACAAAATATGTAGATCTCAGGTATGAGTCTGTAAATCAATTAATCCTGCAACTCGTGCTTCTCTCAATTGCTGTGGCATTTCTGTTTGAATCAATGGGCTAGGATTATCTCGTAACCACGGATGTCCCCATATTAAAGTTGTCTGCCCATTCCCAATTCTCCTTCGCACCCCTGAGACTACCATTGCATGAGCTGCCATTATACTTCTCCAACAGTAACTTGGGCAATTACCAATAGTTGCATCTGTAAAACTGGTTGTGGGATAATACCTTGCCTTATAAACTTTAGCCACAAGTGATCCTGGGTCCGTTAAAAAACGCCATGCCTGTTTACCCAGCATAGCTAGATTAAAAGCACTTAGTTCTTTAAAACCCATACCACCATACTTCTTTGGTATGCACAACCTGTCCCATGCCTTCCAATGTATTCCCCTTTCTCTTCCATTCCCCCACCAATATTTATTCAATGATCTGGCCATTTTTTTTAGTCAATTATGAATCATTTTTTATTTGCAGTCAATTATTAATATTCATTTCTTTTTATATTTTCAGTCAATTAGTAATATTAGATTCATTTTCAGTCAATTATTTTAGCCCAACCAATTGAAATATTTCCGTTCAATTTTTAGTTTCCCTTCAATTTTTAATTAAAATGCAATGATCTAACCATTTATTTTTTTCACATTAGTCAATTATGGATCATTTTTTATTTGCAGTGAACTATTAATATTCATTTCATTTTATATCTGTGAAAGATTTATGACACAATTGTGATTTGATGCATTATACTTTGTAATATTATTGTGACCATTTTTTTTTATTTTAGTCAATTATGGATTATTTTTTATTTTCAGACAATTATTAATATTCATTTCTTTTTTCAATTAAGCTAATTTCTGTTCATTTTTCTATATTTAATTTTCTGTCAATTATTAATGTTTATTTCTTTTTCCAATTTACCTAATTTTCATTCCATTTTTAATTGGCGATGTAAAATATTATTTTTTTTTCATACTTTTTTTAATTTACATGTATTATTTACTATTATTTGGGCGGAAAATCAAGTAAATAAAATATTGTTTTTACTTATAGTATAGATTTTTTTTTTTCTATTGATTGGGCGGGAAAGTAAGGAAAGTAAGGAAAGAGTATTTTGTTGTAAGGAAAGAGTATTTTGTTTTTAATAGTAGTATAAGTATAGATTGATAATCCTTTTATATTTTCCTATTTAACTGGTTATTCTTTCCAAAAGGCTGAACCCCGGCCCCACCTTGACCGACAGAGCAGGCACCCCAACCCAATCATGGACCACAGAGGCTCCGACAGAGCAGGCACATGAACCACAGAGGCTAGACCGGTGCTCACTGCGCACGAGGAGCCCCCCTCTCTTTGAGAGGTTGCTCCCACACTGCCGCTAGTGAGGCTCGATCCCTGGTCATTCTTCCAAAGTTTCACCTCTATGACCAATGGAGCTACCCATGCGTGAATTTCGTTTCTTTTTCCATTTTTAGTAAATTAAGGATCCTTTTTTATTTTTCTATTTTACTAATTATTATTAGTATTAATTAATCAGTGAATTCCGTTTCTTTTTTTTTTTATTTATTTTTCGTAAATTATGGATCTTTTTTTATTTTTCTAATTTTTTGGTAAGATTTTTTTTTTTTTTTTTTTACTGTTATCCTTATTATGACCTTTTTTTTAACAACTATTTGTTTCCTTTTTTTCATTTTTATTGAATTAAGAATCCTTTTTTATTTTTTAATTTTGCTGATTATTATTATTATTATTATTATTATTATTATTATTATTATTATTATTATTATTATTATTATTATTGTTAATTATTAATTAATCAGTGAATTCCATTTCCTTTCCTATTTCTCGTGAATTAAGTTTTTTTTTGTTTTTTTTTTATTTTTGGTAGGATTTTTTTTTTACTGTTATCCTTATTATAACTTTTTTTTTTTCACAGCCTTCCTTTTTTTTTTTTTCAGTTTCATTGAATTAAGACTCCTTTTTTATTTTCCTATTTTACTGATTATTATTAGTAATAATCAGTAAATTTCGCTTATATTTCCATTTTTCGTGAATTGAGGATCCTTTTTTATTTTCCTATTTTACTACAAATTGTTTTTTTTACTGATTATTGTTAGTATTAATTAATTATTGAATTCCGTTTTCTTTTCTATTTTTTGTGAATTAAGGATTTTTTTTTCTATTTTACTACTAACTTTTTTGAATAATTATTATTAGTATTATTAATTGGTAATTTGTTCCCTTTTTTATTGTTTGGGCGGAAAAGTAAGAAATGATGATTTTGTTTTTAATAATAGTATAGATTTTTGGTGAATTTAGAATCCTTTTTTATTTTCCTATTTTACTGCTAACTTTTTAATGATTATTATTAGCGTTAATTAATCAGTAAATTCCATTTTCTTTTCTATTTTTCGTGAATTAAGAATCTTTTTTTTTTAAATTTTAGTAGGATTTTTTTTTTTACTGTCATCCTTATTTTGGCCTTTTTTTTTTCACAATCTTCCGTTTCTTTTTTCCATTTTCATTGAATTAAGACTCCTTTTTTATTTTCCTATTTTACTGATTATTATTATTAGTAATAATCAGTAAAATCCGTTTATATTTCCATTTTTAGTGAATTAAGGATCTTTTTTATTTTCCTATTTTACTACAAATTTTTTTACTGATTATTGTTAGTATTAATTAATCAATTAATTCCATTTCCTTTTCTATTTTTTGTGAATTAAAGAATTTTTTTTCTATTTTACTACTAATGTTTTTACTAATCATTATTAGTATTATTAATTCATAATTTTTTTCCCTTTTTTATTGTTTGGGTGGGAAAGTAAGAAAGGAGAATTTTATTTCTAATAATAGTATAGATTTATATCGATAGATTTATACTTTTAAATTTACATTTAGAAATTAAAAAAGTAGCATTTAAATTTTGTATGATTAGTATAGTGCATAAGTGTATGCATGTATGTATTTAACATTTTTTATAAATGTTTATATTTTGTTAATTAATTTTATAATTTCATTTCCTTAATTATATTTCATATCTTAGTAATTATAATTTAATGAAATTGTCACAAATATTTTCACAGAAAAAATCTTATATTTCTCAATTTTATTAATTATATTTATCAAATATTGTGACAATTATCATAATAATTTCATTAATTATAATATTTGTTCTCTTTCAATATTTAAATACACTACTGTAGTAATTACATGAAAGAAAGAAAGAAAAATTATTAGAATAATTACCACTAATAAAAATTATGAAATTATATTAAAAATTAATTATATATTAAGGTAATAATAATTTAGTTTGTGCCAATAATATTATATATTAAGTATAAAAATATATATGTATATAGATTACCATAATAATTACACTGAAAAAGATAACAATACATAATTATTAGGCAATAATATGAATAATTAATTATTAAGGCAAGTATAATTTATTTTGTACTAATAATATTATACATTAACTACACACACACACACACACACACACACACACACACACATTAAGTTTATATTATATTAATTATAATATTTGTACATTTTGTACTAATAATATTATACATTATTTTTTAGTTTAGATCCGTGACTTAGTCCTCGATCTCTATCCTTAACTTCTGTGTTTTTGGTGTTGAAATCAGGGTTCTGTTTCGTTTTTTGTATACATCTTGTAATTATTTCAGAGGTATAAAGAGAAAAAAAAAATCACTTCCCGGTTCGGCAAAGCGCTTCGTTGCCTGCGAGGAGAAGAAGAGTTTGATTTCTGATAAGAAAACACTGGTCCTTCCTTGCTGTCGAAAAATTAAAAAATCAACTTTGTAGTCAATGTTACCAGTGTCTCCATCAACGCCCAATCCGTTGGATCCAGCGGCACTAAAAACGTTTCAAGCTACAATTGCAAAATAATAATAATAATAATAATAATAATAATAATAATAATAATAATAATAATAATAATAATAATAATAATAATAATAACAATAATAACAATAACAATAACAATAACAATAACAATAACAATAACAATAACAATAACAATAATAATAATAATAATAATAATAATAATAATAATAATAATAATAATAATAATCTTGAAAAGTGTAAAAAAAAAATTTACTTACATTTTCATGAATGCAACACCAAGATATGATTCCACATAGAGAACAACATGAAGAAGATGGAAACCGTGCAAAATAAAAAATTATGATTTCCAAACTCACCAATCCATTGTATTTATAGGTAGAAAATATGAGAATTATAAACTTGTATAATTTTTCAAAAAGGAAATATGTAATTATGTAATATTACCAATTAATAAATTTTAATTCATTTCCATTATACATTTGCTTACCAAATAATAATATTTTTGCTAACTAATAATATGTAAAATATTTAAATTTGTGAACTTTGTATGAATTGCCGGGCTTTCTTTATTGAATAGATTGATCCTTTTCAAGTTCTTGGGTGTGGCAGGTATTTATTGCATTTTTTTTTAAATTTCGGTGGAATGAATGATTTAATAAAATGTAAATTTACACAAGTTTGTAAAGATTTAGTTTGTATTGCTTTGAATAAATAGTGATATATAAGCTAATAATTAGTGATATAGCAAATTGATTTGTATATGTATGTGATTTCTTTCTTTAATTAATTGCTTTCTTTAATTAACAATTAATTGCTTTCTTTAATTAATTGAATTTGGATATTACATAAATGTCCCTAAGTTTTGGGGGGGGGGGGGGGGGGGGGAGAATTTGTGAAGTAGGATTTTACTTATATATATATATATATATTTACTTATAGGCTTCGGATCCCATGAGGTCACTTAGATGGGTGAGATAATGGGGCCTCATCTCATTCATTAAATTATAACATATCAAAGGGTGAGATGGAAAGAGATTTATTTTCCATCTATGGTAGTAGTATATGTATAAGGGTGTATAAGTAATTGTAATATTAGAGCTATATATGGTTAGGAATAGATTGGAATATATTCCATGCTAAGGTTCAACTAATTATGGTGTTGAATAATGTATTTACGGTTATAAATTATTGTTGATAGAGTGTGAGTTGTATTTAAACATTTGTACTCAGCAATAGTGTTTTGCGGTGGGATATCTCCTCAACAATGAAGGTGCAACCGGAAAGAGGTATGTGCAACCTTAATAGAATTGTGTTATGGGTTATGTTCTGTCTGTGCAGCCATTTAGTTAAGTCGGTGCGTTGAGTTAAGAACCCAACACACAAGCCCAAAAACTAAACCGAACAAACGTCAGACCTACTAGAATTCAGTGTAAATTTTAAACCAAAAAAAAAAAAAAAAAAAAAAACCACACCCCTTGTAAACTCCAATCGCACAGACCATAACAACAAAAAGCACCAAATAAATATATAAAATAACAACACACCAACAGTTAATAGATCATAACATGTTACAATTAAAATACACAAACCAAAATTGCTTTACGTAAAAAAACAAGAACCAAGCTATAAAAATATGGTAAAAGTTTGCCTCAATTCTAGTTGACAATCCAAATAAGAGATATTTGGCCTGAAAACTTGTCAACATATTTGTGACCCAACGCACAAGCCGAACACATAAAATGCACACAGAAAAACTTCATAACACAACGCAAATTTCTGTTCATTAATTTTTAAATTGAATAACTGAATCAACATGCAACAAAAACCACAACCATACCGCTGATTGATCATACCCGTCATAACAAAGAATTTAAGCCAAACGCACACACGGAAAAACAAATTGCACACACAGCATAACAAAGAATTTAAGTCAAATGTACACACGGGAAAACAAATTGCACACACCCGATACAATACCATAATTAAGTAGTGCACAAGCCCATAAAATCTGCTAATTAATTATTACACCATAATTAAGACACTACCAAAAAGACAACAACACCCCCACATACAAATAAATCACACGCACAAGGCATTATATTCAGTCAAATCTAATCCATCAAAAAACCCAAATAAACGCACCAGATCAAGCCTCACCACCTCGCCTGCCAAAGGTAACCTCACCGGATCCAAAATCTTTACTTTTATATATATATATATATTTACTTTTATATATATATATATATATATATATATATATATATATATATATATATATATATATATATAGATTTTAAGAATGATTTGGTATTGTAGGAATAAAAAAATGAATTACAAATATGATTATGTGACAGAAGAGTTCATTTCTTAAATTGAAAGCGTATTACAAGGATAAATTATATCATGCACATATAATGCAGATCTTATGCACATATCATGCACATACCATGCACAATCAAGTTCTACATACAAATTTATTTTTACTATACTACGCGATCATTTTTAATATACTTATATATCAAGTAACCCTAATCTAGGTTATAAGATTGTCCCAAGGCAAGAAAAAAAAAAAAAAAAAAAAAAAGAGATGTTCCTTAATCATCATTCATAGAAAGAGAGCTAGGACTATATATAGTCTGCATTTTGCCGCATATTAAACAAGTTTTACATGACCAGCCAATAATTTTCTTTAAGCTTACAAAATGCATGGTCATCACCACAAAACATACTATCCACCATTTGCAGACTACCACAGCAAACCAGCAAAAACTATACTAGTACACTAGTAAACAGGAGCTAAACGACCAGAGTCACTCCTGCACAACATTCACCAGCTCATACTCAACCAGGGAGAGATTGTTGTCTTCTTTCACATCAAAAGCAGCCGCTTCAGTGACCTCAATACGCCCCCATTTGTCAACTGCAAGCCTCATGGATCCCTTGAACATGTCAATCTTAGCATTTCGGAGGATCACAGTAGTACCAGGCTCCATCACATTAACTGCATAAGATCAAGTGCACACTATAAGAACAAAATGGGATAAGAGAATCTAGAATGAATCAATTTGTTTTGTGTTTGTTTGTGGGGTGGAAGGGTTGGGAATTGGAATGTCAATTACTTTTTGTAATCCCTGTTGTAACAGACAAATGGCTGCCCCTGCATCATTATGGTTATATGAATATTGCTTACTAAAGGCACCACCAAGAATAAATTTGCCAGTCAAAAACAATGCAATTTTATAAAGTAATTCCTTCAGTTGGTTTGACAACTAGTCAACAACATAAATAACAAAGTACCATTGGTAAACATATAAAATATAATGCATGTTAGACTTCCCCAAGTGACGAGTGCATTCAGTGTGTCAATCTGAAACTTTCTCAATATTTTATTCAGGACACATAATATTTTAATGGAATAATATCCTTTCTTACACATGAAAAGAAAACGATTGGAGCAACTTTGAGACAAATGTTTCAGTGACCAGCAGGGTAAGACAATAAAAGGAACCAATCAGAGGTTCATTTTCTCTTCTATTCTTTTTGACAAGATAGTAACTGTTCTTCACCAAATACAGGAGTTGAAAAGCTTTGTACCCAGTAGATAAAGAAAACAGCTAGTAGAACACTAGAGGAAAACTTGAAAAGAGGATAACAGCATCATAGGCAGGTTAATGGAATAAGTACAACATAAATTTGCAAGTAGAAAGACAATTGTTATAATATCTCTAAGTGGTCATTGCTGTCTGGTGGTCTGAGTATTTAACTATTTATATAGATATGATAAAATGGACTTTCCTACAAAATTAAAAGGTAAGCTTCAAAGAACAAAATTTTTGTTCTAGTTGCACAAGATCTCTCTCACACCTAAAGTGTTTATTAGCAATCAATATCTTGCTTGGGTAAAAAAGGTAAGTTGCAATTCCTAAGAATAGTTGAAATGATTTCAGTTTTGGCCATTACAGTACCCCCAACATTAATTTCTTAACTGTTGGGGAGGAACAGAGTTTTATTTTTCGGTCATATATAGCTCAACAGAATTTATGATGAGGGGCAAAATGGGAGGAAAAGTGTAATAGTAAATGTACAGACTCCCATCTTTTGCAACAATCAAGTAGGACATTAGCACAGTTAATTTGCAGCAACAAAACTAGAACCTCTGTCAAAGATCAGAACTGATCAATTGTGTATTTTCACACTCAACAAACAGTCAATTAGCTGTACATACAAACTCTTAGATTTCAAGTTCAGATGCATCAAAATGAGCACAGATACATCATCTGATGAGCACAAGACAAACCAATAGCACAAAAAGCTAAGCAAACAAAGTTTTCAGAGAACTAAAAATCCAGCAAAATTTAGGTTTTCATATCAGAAAATTTCAAGACACATTTACGAATTCCACAAATTCAACGACACGAAACGCGAAGCATTCACACCACACAAAATTCAAAACCTGTCACACACACAACATAAACACTAACACACATTGACCATACGGTCCATATATACCTTGATCGTTGCGAGCAGTAAAGAGGATGCAGCCGGTTTCGTCTCCGACGAGGCATTCAGCAATGCTGGTGTTACGGAGGTGCGTCGACACCGCGCTGCCCTTCGGCAACACCATGTTGGAGCCGATCACCTTGACGATCAGCGTGTGGCCGTTGGTCTCTGGCTTCAGACTGCTCACCTTGACGAACACCGGCTTCCTCAACTCCCGCTTTACCGAACGTGAACTCGTCGCCATTTCCGATACCTCCCGTCGACGATGAAAACGATCAAAGCCAAAAACTTAAAACCCTAACTCAGACAAGAAAAAAACACAAGTTAAAAAAACACGAAGAAAACTCTCCGACTCTCTTTCTCTTTCTCTCACTAAAACTCTTCTCTCTCTGTTAAAATGGAATGGTGTATGGGCGTATGCTTTTCCGACTCCTCTCAGTCAAGTTTCCATTTGTGGGATTTATTTCGTTTCTTTGCGACCTTTTTGATTCCCTGTTTGCAGGTTCACGAGGAAATTATGGGGAGAGACGCTGTCTTAGGTGGGTCCACGCGGGTCACATTTTTCACTCCGTTTTCTTTTCTGTCATATTTCTCCCTAAATTTTGTGTATCTCGTGACTGTTACGCTAAAAATATGGTAAATATGAGAATGGATACACATCATATTTCATATAAATCTCATATTGATGTTATTAGATTACACGATTTATCGTAACTATTATCTTTATTTCAACTTTATGATGACTTTCTGATATAGTATACGTAATTTAAGAATTGATGAAATTAAAGAATAATAATAATAATGGTATTTTTTTTTGAATACTATTAACTCAATTACAATGCAGTATTTGTTCATAATTACTTTTCCAATCTACTGAAGCACAAAGAGTCAATATCGTCTTCACTGAGGTTGAACCCACATCCTCTCATGTGAAAGTTCAACTTGGTACCATTCGACCACAAGGTGTTAAAAATATTGTTCACAAAAGGTTGAATCTCAAATCTCAAGGGTCTCCACACTCTCACCCGACAAAACATCCGAGAGCATGTAAATTATGGTAATTCAATTGAACACATAGGTTAGACTTTTGCTTACTGTGTACAAGGAGTCGCTAGTGAAACTCGATCCCAGGTCATTATTTTTAAACTTTATCCATGACTAACTGAGCTGTCCAAACAGGCATAACGGTTAAAACTATTGGACCCGGGGGTGTTCATCATTCCTTTGATTTTCTAAATTTTGTTACAATTGTTATTGAAAGGAGGAGTCCGTTTGTCATCCTCCAAATCTCCAATACAATACATGAATTAGGGAGTGTGTCCTCTCATCTTTTTATTGGCTTTCTATTTCCACCAGCTGATTCATCTTCTTTGTTTAAAATAAATCCTAGTGAAAATCGACATTTTGCTCCTCTAAGAAGGGTTAAATAATCAATTTCATCAATTCTTACTATTATAAAAAGATAACATTTACTTCAATCATTGATGAACATTGATGGGTGACTATTATCAATCATAACTTTTTAGTGTATAATTATCAATTGGGAATATTGAGGGGATATTGTAAGAGTTATTAGAAAAGAGAAGAATGATTAGGAAAGAAAAAATGAGAGGGGAGAAAAAAAAAAAGAAAAAAAGAAAAGAACAAAATTGAAATTAAAAAAATAAAATTAATAAAGAAATGAAGCGTCAGCGCGCGCCCGTGTGGCCACGCATGTGTTGGTTATTTATTTATTTATTTATTTTGGTTTTTTTTTCTCTGACATTATTTTGTGTTTTGTAGGAAAATTCTTTTCTAAAATAATCTCACCCCACATTTATTATTAACCCTACCCAAGAGAATTAATCTAACATTAACTCTCATTTCACTCCTATTGTGAATGCTCTTACAAGAGGACATTGTTATCATTTGAATCCTCCTCTATATCACCCAAGGTGCACACCATTGATTGTGGAAATGCACAGATACAGAGGCAATAGTACACATTGGTACATTGCATGCCACTCGAGAAAAATGCACATATATAGGTCAATCACAAAAAACTCAATATTATACTCAAAGAATAAGGACACAGTGCACAACAGTACTAAGGGAAAATGGGGACGAGACCTATTTTTATAAATATTGCAAATTTTATTAAAAGTTTGTAATAATTATAAAATTAACTTTGTATTTTTTTTTTTACTAAAATCTTCAATCATTGATGAACAGTTGTGGGTGGCTAAGATCAATTACGAGAACTTTGTTTTTCATCTAAATCACCTACAATACACACCAATAACCATGCAAATGCACGTCACCCATGAAAAATACACATAGGTCAATTACAAAATAGAAAATATTATAATTAAACAATAGACAACTAAATGTGCACTACAACTATTAGTTTAGACTTTTAATTGAGATATAATGCATATTTCAATTATATAATAGAGTCAATCATATGCCAAAGGTCATGAGTTCAGATCTCTGCACCTGAAAAAAAGCGACTATATATCTATATGTTTTTTGGAGCCCAAGAAGCAATTAGTATAAGCTGATGTGCCTTCATACACAAGAACGTACTGAGTATCTAGACTGGTTGAGTGGTTGGTGGGGTGTGATACTATGGACACACCTACTTTCACTCTTCTTAGGCCAAGACCTTCTTAATGTTACCGACATATAATATACTAATTAAATATTTAGAAATACTAATGGGACGTAGCATTTTATATTTACTAGTTACTATGTCACTCTATCATACTACTTTGATAAAAGTAACGTACATTATTATTAAAATATTAGAGGAAATTGTAAAAAATGCTCCTCGGCCAATTATCAATGTCACCCCTGAATTATGAGTGGTATAAATGTTGCCCCTCAATTATCAAAACGATGCACATATATAGCCCCTCCCGTAACAGACATGTGATTCCCCGTTAGTGTATGACACCGTTAAGTCAAAGTAAATATGTAGTTTAGTTGTTTTTTCCCTCTCTCGATTCGAAGTACTAGCGATGGACAGCGGTGGGGAACCACAGGTCCATTATGGGAGGGGCTATTTGTGCACCATTTTGATAATTGAAGGGCAACATTTACACCACTCATAATTCAGATGTGACATTGATAAATGGCATATAATAGAGGGGCAATTTTTACAATTTTCCTAAAATATTATAACAAAATCATTGTGGGCGAGGACAAATTATATTGTGGACCGCGGTCCACAATGCATTGTGGTTCAGGTATCAAATATACACTGCAGTTACATTTCAACACAATTACAATATCATTTTAATATAACTACAGTTTTGCTGGACAATATGCACTCAAATATGTGAAATTGTTATTCAACTTTATTTTGTATACACTGCAGTTTCATTTCAACACAACTACAGTTTCATTTCAATTCAATTACAGTTACATTTGGTAATATAATAAAAATAATACGTGAAATAATGTCAATATAAATACACTATAGTGTCTGCCGTTTTGGACCATGGTCCACAATATAATTACTGGTGGGCGAGACGCAGTCATCATCAATGGGTTAAAAATTACAGGCCTTATTATTTGGTTCATATGCAGTGGGAATGGTGGATTATATTTACATTGTTGGGATATAAACCCATACGAGTAGGCCCAAGAGCACATTCCATAATCCATGGCACATGGCAAATTATGGTTCACATAGTGTTATGTGGATCATTACAAAAAGTACATTTTTAATATACTAAATGTACATTATTTTTGTACTGTATGTACATTATATAATATAATATACATTCCGTAGAAAAATAATGTACATCCTTTGAATATAATGTACATTATTTTTATACTAAATGTACATTATTTTTTTACTGAATGTACATTATTTTACAGTATACAAAATATGGTTCACACAATTTGGGTGGACCATGGTCCACACAATAATGATTGAGACTTCAAGTCCTAGTTTTAAAATAATAATATTGGGTAGTATAAGATCATGGGCTAAGTTATAAAATATTTTGGAATAGGCTTTGTAGTGAAAATAATTTATTTAGTACTATTTTCTCGACAATAGGCATACTCGAAAATAATTTAAATTTGAAAATAATTATGCGAAATATTTTTAGATCAAATTTTACGGGGTGTCAGAGGTACGTGGGTGGAGATATTGATCAAACCTTGAAGAGATTTTGGGTTAAGTAAGTATTTGGTTGTACTTATCTTAAATTTGTTGGTCACGAAGGGTTGGGTTACAAGTCTAGAGGGGGTGAATAAACTTGTACAAATTTTGAAAATTCTTTACTATTGGAACTTCAAGACTTAAGGTAAACTTAAGTTTGAATAACTATTCGTAAAACCTTTTAGCAGCGGCAAACGTGAACCCTTTTTAGTGTTAAGCACAATTTAGTCTTGATAAAATTTTAGGCTTCGTTCTTTAGAGTATAGCTTAAATGCAGTAAAATAAAGAGAGAGAGATAGAGATTTTTATAGTGGTTCCGCTATCAACCAGCCTACTCTACTTTTCTCCAACAACTCCTTAGCTTGGAGGATTATTGCACTAATACTCATACTACAATGAAGAATAATAGAACCTTAAACACAAAGTTGGCCTCTAACTTCTTAGGTTTTTCACAAGCCTCAACTTGTTACTCTGTCGCTTTCTACTTCAACCGAGTAAAGTTACAAAGGTTTTCAACAAAGTGATTGTTGATCCTCCAACATGTAGACTTGGTGTTTGAATCTTGTCTTCTCGTTGCCCAAGTCTTGAGCTTGATCTTGAATTTGTAGATCTTTTCTCCCCTTTCACTAGTCACTAATTTAGCACTTTGAAAGCTTTGAATACTTGAAAATTTTTCACTTGAAAAACCAACACCTTCTTTAGTCTTGATTGAATAGGGATGGCAACGGGGCGGGGCGGGGAGTATACTCCCCGTCCCCGCCCCCGCTACCTCGACCCTATCCCCATCCCCGTCCCCGCGGGGAGTTTGGCAAGGACGGGTCCATAGTTAAAGTGTCAAATTAATACAATTTTTTAAAATAAAAATGAAAAAATTGAAACAGTGAAGGAAAATGCATGCACACCGTTAGCGCTACACCTACGCTTGCGCCCATGCATCACCAAAAAAACGGACGCGAGATATCAGTCCTCACATCCACACTTTAGTCACAGAATGCACCTAAACTGCACTCTCTCTCTCTCTCTCTATATATATATATATATATATATATATATATATATATATATATATATTGATGGTTTTATTGGGACCGGGTCCACCATAAACTGGGTATAGGAACATAGGACGGGGGGTAGGGCGCTAGGCCCAGAACAATGCGTACAAAAGCCCGAGGTACAGGCCCAGAATGGCAGTCCAATTACAAAGAACAAGGCCCACAGGATGGGCTATAGCGAACTATGCTACTGGTAGGAATCGAACCCAGGTGACTGGA